ATGAATTAATACTTTTCTTAGCAGCTCTACACAGTCATGTATTAACTGATTAGTAATTAACAATCTTTCCGTTGACTCTTTACTTATTTGGTGTTAATATATTTTAATTGCATTTGGTAATTAAATACTTTATTATTTTACATTGAAGTCTTTCTGTTATTACTTGTATTATGTACATGTGACAGATTACAAAACAAATGAAAATACATTTTCTTTATAAATTATGCTGTATTTTGGAGAAGGAGTTTATGTGGAGAGACACTGATAGTGTTGTTCTGCTCAGTTTCTTTTGTTGAATAAAGCCTTTCTTAAGGTTATCACCATCTTGTCTTTCTGCAGTTTGGAATTGTTTTTAAATTCATAACAATTTATTCAACAAAAGAGGAGAAAATTTAACATGTCCAAAATACTCAAATTATATTGACTAGACCTAAATCACAATGTACCTATCACTTCTAAGGACTGGAAAAGAACATTTGAGAATTTTATTCTGGAATGTGGGGATGAAGCGGCTGACAACTTCTGATCTCTGATAAATTGTGTTTCATCCAGAGTGTATGAGTACATTGAAGATTGTACAAATTATGAGTAAACCATCCAAACATTTCGGCCAACTATATATCAAGACACCTAATGAGATCTCTGCTAGGCATCAGCTTCTGACCAAATGTCAGAAATCAGAAGAGTCTCTTGAGAATTTTCATCAGGAACTCAGAAAATTTAGTAAAGATTGCAACTATAAAAATGCCACAGCTGAACAATACAGAGAAGAGCAGATTGGAGATGCCTTTATAAGTGGGATTTCATCCAATTAGGCAAGTGGTTGCTGGAAAATTCCACACTGGATTTATTGTTGGCCTTCAATCCCGCACGTGCACTTGATCTTGCCCAAAGAAATTCACAACTTTACTCCCCACAAGCACTTTGTTGGTCCCCGGTGTAGTAGCCATTGTTCGTACCAAGAGTGGATGTTCAGAAGAGAGCCTCACAAATCTAGCTCTGCCAAAAAGATCTTACCAGAAAAGGGTGCCACAGTTGATAATTGGAAAGTCTGTTCTGCTTGTAGCATCATGTTTTAATTGTGGAAAAAATTAACACTTTTTGAAGATTTGCTAATCTGAGACCAAGTCATCTGGGATGACGACCATGATGTTTAATTTTAAACTAAGTTTGTGTGTAATCCTGGATATCTCAAATCTCTCTCATGCAACTATGATGGTCACCATAAAAGGCAGACTCTAGTAGTTCAGAAAATTTTATTACTGAAGATGAATTCAACGAATTTAGCCGGAAACTCCACCCCTGTAGGGAAAAAAGTGTGTATGGCTTTTAAAACTATGGAAGCCAACTATACCAGTGTTTGCATTACTGATATAGAGGCAGGTGGCAGGAAATATGGAAAAGTAAAATTTGTGATTTTGGATAACCTATGTGTGGAAGTAATTCTCAGATATGAGTTTCAGATGCTACACAAAAATATAATCTTCACTTATGGTGAGAACAAAGACAACTTCAGAGTTAGTCAAAGATATGTAAATTGTGTTCTTGATGCAGCTAAGGTAAATATACCTTCATAATTTACAAGTATACCTGTGAATGTTGCTACCAAAATCCTGGCATTTTAGTAGAGATGATCAGGTATTCATTGAGAAGAAAATTTCCCAGTTACTCTCATATAACATCATTGAACCCCACTACTCACTGTGGAGTTTCCAGTTGGTTGTTGCAAAAGACCTTATCAATAAGCACAATAAATGGTTCTATGTAGATTATTCCCAAATGGTTAATCTATCTACACAGTTGAATGCCTACCCAATAATTGAGGTAGATAAAAAGTTTACTGCTTTTGAGGCCAATGAGAAGCTATACCAGTTTTGTAGGTTGCCCTTTGGTGCAACAAATGTGGTCTCTATGTTTCAAAGGACAATGAATTTGAACCTTATAGATACATATCCTTATGCAGACAACATCACCATTGTTGGATATGATAAAAAACAACATAATCAGAATTTTCAGAGATACCAGCAAGTGGCACAAAAATGTGTTCTTACATTAAATGAATCAATATCTACTAAAACTATTAAAATACTCTGCTATGATGTAAGTCATAATACTATTCAGCCAGATCCTGACTGTGCTCACTCCAGATATTGCCACTCCCATCAAATATTGTCTTGCTCAGGTGGACCTTGTGTATGTTTTCATATTATTCCAAATGGATTCCTTTGTTTTCTAATAAAATCCGTCCATTGATCAATACTAAATTTTTCCAATAAGTAAAGAAGCTTTGGGGTCTTTTAACACACTCAAAGAGGAATTACATTCTGCAACACTTAGCTCCATTGATGAAAGTATTCATTTTTTTCGTAGAATGTGATGCTTCTGATGTTACTGTGTCTGCAACTCTTAATCAAAATGGTTGCCCCATTGTCTTCATGTCATACAGCCTAAATAAGAGTGAATTAAACTACCCTTTGGTGGAAAAGGAAGCTACAACTGTCATTGAAGCTGTTAAAAAGTGGTAACACTTATTGTTGTGCAATCACTCTAATAACTGATAAATGTTCTGTTGCATTCATGTTTGACAATAGAAAGCAAATACAGGTTAAGAACAGCAAAATTCAGAGTTGGAAAGTAGAGATGGCTGAATTTAATTATTCAATCGCATACAGATCTGAACCTGACAATGTTGTCCCAGATGCCCTAACAAGTTCATCTCTAAAAGAACTTCATAGTAGTTTATGTCATCCAGGATTTGCATGGATGTTACACTTTGTTAAATGCAAAAATCTTCCATATTCAACAGAAGATGTGAAAAAGGTTTGCTCTCAGTGGTTAATTTGCTCCAAATTGAAGCCAAAGTTCTTCAAACCTTCTGTACTGGGCAAATTAATATGAGCTATGGGTCCCATTGACCAATTAAACATAGATTTTAAAGCACCCTTACCATCTAATACTCATAAGTATTTGGTAACGGTTATAGATGAATATTCATGTTTGCTTTTTCATGTCTGGATATCAGTTCAGCAACATCTATAAAATGCCTCAACCAAATTTTCAGGCTTTACAGTTTCCCATATATTCTCTCTGATAGAGGTGCATCCTTTATTAGCCAAGAATTAAATTCTTACTTAGCTCAGAAAGATTAAACTCATGACCACCAAGTAAACAGCAATGCTTAACCAATTCTTATACCTACTAGAACATTATCCCAAAAATTTGAGTATATTACCAAATAAAAAAGGCACCTATGGAAGGTTGGTGGGTGTAATGATCATAATATCTAAGATGAAGATAACTGTTCATGTCTAATAATAGTAGTTCTTAATTTCAGAAATTCAGACAGAAGAACATCAATAACTTTTGTTGGTGGGGGTAGTTGTTATTAATTGGATATAACTTCCGGCATTTTCCTTCAGATTCATTAATCAAATGATTTTCTTAACAAAAAGGATTTTCTAAAGAAAAAATTCTTATGCTTTGTGCATACAAACATCTGTCTTAGAATTCTCTTATCTTTAAATTTTGTTGAATAGTAATAACAACAATAGTAAGAATAATAATTATGCCTGAAATGTGATCAAAACAACAATAGTAAGGCTACTACCTTACTTCTGAACATGAAAATTGTTTTAGTAAGTTTCAATGTATATATTAAGTACTGAAAATGAAAAAAGTGATTATCTAAAATATTAAGGTAAGCATTTCCAACAGAAGAGGCCTATTAATGTCAATGGATTCTATTATTTATTATAGAGATGAATTGAAAATCTGAAAGGAGATTGTTAATGGTCAGACAAAAGCATTATTGGTAGAACAGTGTTATATATATTTAATGCTACACCATCTTTAAAATAATCAAGGTGAGAAAGTTACAGAAATGTATATGAAGTATCAGATTTCTTAACTCACCTGGAGTTTTTTTAAGATATTTTTCTTTTCTTTGTTCTTGAAAGCAAACTTTAGTGACAAGAGAAAAAAAAACAGTAGAACATTTTTGGCAAGCCCATTTCAAATTTACCAGTTCCTTTTCATTAGTATCTTCAGTTTTTGATATTTAAGTTATTATCTCTTTGTAAATCTCTCAAGTTTTGTCATCGCTTCAGAAAAGAAAGACTTTTAAGGTTTTTTTATTTGAACATTTTTTTAAAAATAGCTTTCTCATTATTTGGTATAATCAAAGTTTTTATGAGAATTATATCAGGGTTATATCAGAAACAAAAAAAAAAGGTGCTGACTGACTAACACTTTGTACTTTCTATCTTGTTTGACACACCTCTGGAACTGAGATGATCACATGTGATTGTGTGATGATAACTAAAACACTGACAAATAATAACAATACACAGAAAAAGTAAGTTTTCTTTCTTTACTTTTTTTTTTCTTTTAATGGGGAGAAAATCTTGAAGAGTCTAATTAACCTAACATTTGCTACACATTTAAGATATCTCTTTTTTGTTTTGTTTTTTTTGGTTTTTTTTTAGAAACAAGTTTATATTTTTATTTTTTTGTTTTATGATGGAAGCAAAGATTTTGTCTTGATCTCCCCTGCTTTCCTTTTCACTTTTTTCCCGTTATGTAAATCACTTGAACATCATATACATTTTAAATTCTCTTATAAATTTAACTAAATCAAAATTTCTCTGTGTGAAAAGGCAAACAAGTAAATCTAATGAGTTATTCAAAAAAAAAAAAAAGAAAAAAGAGAGTTTTAAATTTGAAATAGATTCTATGATACTGGTTTGCAGTTTTCATCTGTTAGATAAAGAGGAAAATGTGTGACATTATCTTTTGATTCCATTACAAAATGTTAACATGAGATTTAAAAGAACATAAAATTGAATAACCACTAAGAAAAATTGTTTTAAAAGGTGAACAAAACATCAAAATTAACTATTGAATTCTTTTGCGTCACTCCTGCATGATTTAAACAATGTTTGGCACCTTTTAACAGTTTTTTTTTATTGCTGTGCTATGACCAAACTAATGACAAAGAGCAAATGTTTTCCTTTATTTTTTGTTATTGTACACCTGTGTTCTTTTGGTTTAAATCTCTTTCTTTTACTTATTTCATTGCTCTATCATCTATCAATCTATATGTATGCAAGTAAGTATATCTAGATTGAAACATTCTCAGCCTAACACACTTCCAAAAATCTGAACAAAGAAAAAAATTATTTTTGAAATCCTGACTTAATTGGGCTGAGAACTTTCAGCACCACTTATATATATATATATATATATATATATATATATATATATATAATGTGTGTGTGTGTGTATATATATATATATATATATATTAATATTATTTGATAATTAGTAGTGATAATACCAAAGGGGATATAAATCCAAAAAGAAGTAATGTAAGAACAGAGCAAAAATAATAATGATGAAAGTAGAGACTTTAGAAATCCATGGTAATAAATTGTTACCCTAGATTTCTAAGGTTTCCACTTTCATCATTATTAAATATATGGAGTAAAAATCCACAGTTTGTAGCATTTATCTTTTTATTTTTTTTTTTTAAAAAAATACAAGTTATGTACTATCATCTGAGGAAGAACTATTATAGTTCTGAAACATGAAGGATTTTGTGTAGTGATGTAAAATGTATATATATATATATATATACATATCTCTGTCAGTAGACATCAATTAAGGTATAATCAGTTTTGGAGAACAAAAGCTAACATGAGAAAAAAGCGAATTAAAAACGTCTGAAACAGGCTTTCTTTACACAACACTAACCTTTTTATAACTAACATGATTTTTAATTGTTTTGCAATTAAAACTAAAATTTTTTACTTAATAATAATAGAAGACTAATCCCCACCACATTTAATCAATCCCCTACTTTATGTCCAGAAACTTTAAAGGCAGTTTAAAAACTGCTTTAAGTAGATTCACCTATAGCCTGATTCATACTCCTTCATGATTCTTTGAACAGGTGTAGAGGTTTATCCCTTGTTTCTTGTTTCTGATTGGGTTTTCAGTTCCTTCAACTGCTCTTCTGACATATCTGCCTGAATCCTGAAGTTTTATTTGGTAATTATTACTATTTTATTCCTTTCCCAATAGGAGTAGCTAGGTTTGTGTAGCATCTGGTTCACAACTCATCCCTGGTCTTTTGAACAGGAGTAGAATTTTAACTCTTGTTCCCAATTTAGGATTGGGTTTCTGGCTTCTTCATCCTTATACTTCTAACTACTCCACCTGAAATTTTATTTGCTAATTAAATCTTGACCTTTTCAAGTCTGGAATTAAGATGCGGAACAAACTGAAAAAATTGGAAATATTATTCAAAACCGGAACCTTTTGAAGAATGGAAATTTTACCAAGAAACTTCGAAGTTGGAGCAAAAACTGCTATTTAAGAGTTAAGTAATTTTTTCTTATATATATATATATATAGGCATGTTATATGAGGCCAAGATTTGAATCACATGAGTTAGTTAATCAGGAAGATGACTTCATAATGTTATCAGCTTGAAAATGACTGTAAGCCCCACCATGAGTTAACCCAAGAATCACAAGTGAAATTAGGTAGGCAGTATTGTTCAGAAGCCATTTATGCTAGCCCAAGATCAGAAGTCATTGTGACCAGGGGCTTGAGTGTATTGGTATTGTTCAAATTGCTGATCATACCAGATTATGCACTCCCTCCCAGAAATTTTAACTAATAGTCACAGATGGGCTCTGTGGTGTGTTGAACAAATACAAAGTAGCCATTATTAGTATTGTTATATATATATATATATATATATATATATATATATATATATGTATATATATGACTGAAGTATGTTCTTGTATAAAGGATTTTGTACAAAGATAGATGTAGATTTTATACATTCTGGTTTGCCTAATGATTATGCTAGTGTGAAACTTGAGTAGTGGTTTGAACTTTGTCTCGTTTTGATTAATGTCACTGGGTAACATATTTGCACCGTTTTGGTCATTTGGAAATAAAGCACCATCTTTTAATGCTTCGGTAGGTGTCTGTCTTTGATTTTATTTTCTTCTTAGTTTATGTCTCCTTTTTTGCAATTGGTTTTGATTTTCTTTGGTCATTTGGAAAACTTTGTTGTGTTCATTTTACCAATACTTTGGTTTCTTCTTCTTATATATATGCAATAACTTTAAGGATTATACCAATTTTAACTTGGGGACAGTATATGCCTGCTGGGGGATATAAGATAATCTGATAAAGTTTCCAAAGTCTCCAACAATCTTGTGCTATAGAAATTATTGCACTCTATGCCTGAAATTTGCTGGCAATGTTTACAGAATAAGGTTCAATGTAATGCAAAAGTCCAATGCATGCAGGTATCATGCCATCTAGATGTACATATAATCCTTTTATTCAAATAGAGCTGTTTGAGAAAGAACAGATTGTAAGCTCTTCAAGAAAATAGATGGCTATTTTAAAGAATTGCTGCACATTTTGGAATGGATGCATTAGTTCTTCTTCAACATTAGTCAAATGAATATTATTACATCTATAGACCAGGTTCTGGATGGTCATATATTACAGATACTCACCAAGATTGTTAGTATTGTAAGGATTGCAGTGGCAGAATCAAAGAAACTGATGCTGCACAATCATTCCAAAGCCCAAAATAAAAGTAATAAATATATAAAAAAAAAAAAAATATATTAAAAAAACAACTACCAACCATACTCAAGTAAAGACATAAATGAGCAAAAGATAAATTATAACTTTTGCAGTTCTAAATATAGTCAGTGTGTTCTTTTGCAACATACACTTTAAAATGAACTTCAGATTAATCTAGGCATATAAATAAAAAAAGATAGATCTATCCAGATACATTTTCATGTATTTGAATAAAGAGTTTATTTTTTACATAAAGACATGAAATAGAATCATAGTTAAATAAGAAATAAATACTCAGCTTGAAAATTAAATATTAATGAACAGGTAGAGAGAATTTAAGTCAATGAATAATAAAAACCAAATACTTAAATGTGAACATATTCCTTTATTTAAAAAAAAATTCCTCAAATTCCTTGTATCTAAAATATTGCAAAAACTGACTTTCTCATCTGCTGCTGTATACATGAGTCGAATCTATAAAATACTTAAACTTTTATAACAGGGAATCTGACTTTTAGATTTATCTAAAAGAACATGTATACCAACTTTATTTAAAATCAGTACATACATTTCTGATTTAGAATGTGAGTGAAAAAAAGGCATTTTTTTTTTATTATGTAAGGAACACTAACAATCAAAGGTATTTAGCTTTAACAAAAAATTTATACCACCTTAACTGAATTGTAAGACATGAACATGAAAAACGTGTGTTTCTGAAAAAGTTGCAGTACGATTTATTTATTTTACTGTGCATTGAGCTTAAAAAAAGCCCTGAACAAATAAGATGCAAGTAGATAATAAATTCCGTTGAAATTTATACTTTTTATTGATTTGCTTGGTGGGTGGGTGGGTGCTGCAAAGTTCTTATGACAACCCATTTCCCAAAATCTAACTAAATGTCCAAATATCAGATAGTTCTTCTTGGTCTGGCAGAGAAGTTTTTATTATTCTCTTCTATATTATTCCAATGTCTTTGGTGAATAACATGAAAGAAAGTCAATAATGAAACATAAAAGAAAAAGTGTAAAAGAAAATGAACTCCTGCAGAATTCTGTCAATTTAGTTGCTGGGAGGGAAATCTTCTCAAAATCATTGAGTGGGGACTGAAGGTATTGTTCAAAGATTCAGGGAATATTTAGCTTTTGCCTGGTTGAATATATATCTTTCTAATTTCCACTTCTAGTTTTCTTTCCTTTTTATTACAAGTCTTTCTCTCTTTTTAAACAATCTTTGTATACATTTCTCTCTCTGTCAATTTTTCTCTCTCTCTCTCTCCATTCTTTTTTCACTCAATATGTCTTCCTCTTTTTCTCAAGGTCCAAATAATCTTTGTCTCTCTCTCCCTCTCCTAATCTTTCTCTCACATTCTCTATATTGTTTTTCTAGTTCCATCAGGTCTGTTTATCTTTTAATCTCCACTTTTCTCTCTTTGCCACTCAATTTTTCTTTGTTTTTCCCTCAACCTATAATTCTATTAATGTCTCTCTCTTTAGTTTATTCTGTACTTCTTTCTTTTTCTCTTTTTATTTGTGTTGATTTCTGATGGTGTCACTATCTTTGATCTCTTTCTTTCTCTTATCTCTTTTCTTTCTCTTATCCTTCTCCCTCTCTCTATTTCTTCTCTCTCTCTCTTTTATCTTTTTCTTTTTTATCTTTTATCCATTTTTCTCTCTCTCTCTCTTTTATCCCTTTTTCTCCCTCTCAGAGAGAGAGAGAGAATAAGGGATAAATTTTCTCTTTTCTCTCTCTTTTCACTCTATCTCTTTTTTTCTCTCATTCTATTTCTTTTTTCTCTCATTCTATCTCTTTTTCTCTCTCTCTCTCTCTCTTTCTTTCTCTCTCTCTTTCTTTCTCTCTCTCACTCTCTCTCTCTCTCTCACTCTCTCCTTTTCTCTCTCACTCTCTCCTTTTCTCTCTCACTCTCTCCTTTTCTCTCTCACTCTCTCCTTTTCTCTATCACTCTCTCTCTCTCTAACTCTCTCTATCTTTTTTCTCTCACTCTCTCCCTCTTTTTCTCTCTCACTCTCTCTATCTTTTCTCTCTCACTCTCTCTCATTTTTTCTCTCATTCTCTTTCATTTTTTTCTCTCTCATTTTCTCTCTCACTCTCTCTCTCTCTTATTTTTCTCTCTCTCCCCCATTTTTTTTCTTTCTCTCACTCTCTCTCTTTATGTCTTTGTGCATCTCTGGATTTCTTTGTTATACTATCTATATTTTATTATCTCTCTCTTTTTCAACCTCATACTCTTCCTTTCTGTCCATCTCTTACCCTATCTTCTTTTTTCTGCTTTTATTGATTTCTCTCTCTCTTTCTCTCTCTCCCTTCTAATGTCAACATCTTTTTCTAATCTTTTCTTGTCTCACTGTTTTCTTCATTTTGTTCATGTTTTTGTACTCTCTGTCTCAAAAAATTTCTCACAAAATCTTTGTCCACCTCTTTTTTTCTTATCGACCATAATATCTCTTTCTGCAATTATCTCTCTCTCCCAGATTATCCCCTTCTGTCTCTCATATTAATTTTGACTCTTGTTTTTATTCCACTCTCTCTCTCTCTCTCTATATATATATATATATATATATATATATATATATATGACTTTACAATTATTAAGTCCTCATTTTAATTTCCACTTTTTTATTACTTCTCTCTCTATTTTTCAAACTATATATCTTTATTACTTCATACTTTATCTCTCTCTCGCATTCCATCCCTATTATTCTTCACTCTTTCTTTAACACTTGCTATTACTGCTTTCTTCTTTTTTTCCCAGTCTCATTCTTACTATCACTCATTTTCTGTTATATTCCACACTCTCAAATTGTTAATTCTTATTCTCTTTCAATATCTATCACTGTCTCGCTAGTACTTCTTAATCTTTATCTTTCTCCTTGTCCACCTTTTCAATGATATCACTCTCTTTCTCAATCTATATATTTGTCTCACTCTATTATTTCCCACTCTCTCCTAGTTTGTGTCTGTCATTTTTTTCTCTTTCTCTGTCTATATAGCTGTCTCTTACTCTAAATTTCCTACTCTCTCAATTTATATGTCTCTCTGATAATTCTTACTCTCTGTCAGTCCATATCTGTCTCCTCTTATTTCTGTCTGTTTTTCTCTATCTTAGTTCACTTTTAAATAATGTCACACTCTCTCTCAATCTATATATTTGTCTCACTTTATTATTTCCCACTGTCTCTCTGTTTGTCTCTCTATCATTTCTTTCTCTATCTATATATCTGTCTCTTACTCTAAATTTCCTGCTCTCTCAATTTATATCTGTCTCTGTTAATTCTCACTCTCTTTCAGTCCATATGTCTCCTTCTTATTTCCTACTGTGTGTCTGTCTCTGTCCATTTTTAAATGATATCACTCTCTCTTAATTTATATCTTTATCACACTATTATTTCTCACTCTCTCTCTCTTTTCGTGTCTCTATCATTTCTCTCTCTCTCTCTCTCTCTTACATATATATATATATATATATATATTTCTCCCAAGAATATTTCTCCCTCCCTCTCAGTTTATATCTATCTATCTCCTTCAGACTCAGTAGATCAAAAGGCTCGACTTAATGAATTCTTTAAAGAGTGCATTAGTAGCACTTGTTTGTCAGCTTGATCATAGTCCCATCTCTGATTAGTGCTTCACTTCTGTAGGCAAAGGTGATTTTACGCTCAGTTCAGGTGTTGGTAGGGTGGCCAAATCAAAGCCTTTGACTTCTGAGGTGAATGTCACCCAGTCAAATGATGAAATAAACTGACCATGGTTTGGGCAGGGAACAGGGGTCGACGTAGTTTGTAAGTATTTTCAGGGCTGTTTTTATGCAAAGCAACCTCAGATGATAGAAGCTCAGATGAAAAGATTTATTTAAATATTGTTTGATGAATAAATCATAATTATTTATTTGAGATAATGAGAATTTCTTTTACTGTCTTTTTTCATTTGTTTTAATCTTGTAGTCCATCAAGTCATGAAGAGGTCAGTGATTTTGTTGCAGTCTATAAGAGAGACTTAAATTGCAAAATAAATAACAAAATCAGATATAAAGTTAAACTTGGGAAAGCAAAGAAGTTTTTAGCTTGTGGATTACAAAAACTTTTTTTCAGTTTTAATCTAACACATGTTCTCCTTTTCTTCCTCTCTGTCTGTCTGTCTGTATGTGTGTGTGTGTTCATCTTTGTAAATATATTTTATGTGTGTGTGTGTGTGTTCATCTGTTTCAATATATATTGATATGTTTGTGTGTGTTCATCTGTGTAAATATATATTGATGTCTCTTTGTGTGTGTTCATCTGTGCCAATATATATTTATGTGTTTTTATGTGTTCATCTGTTTCAATATATATTGATTTTTGTGTGTGTTCATCTGTGGAAATGTATATTGGTGTGTGTGTGTGTGTGTGTGTGTGTGTGTGCTCATCTGTGCAAATATGTATTGATGTGTGTTCATCTGTGAAAATATATATTGATGTGAGCGTGTGTGTTCATATTTATATATATATATATCAGTGTGTGTGTGTAAAGTAATATATTGATGTGTGCATGGAAATTTATGTGTATGTATGTTTGTGCATACTTATGTAAATCAAACACACACACACACTAAAATATTTTCTATTGAGTCTGACCAACAAGGTCCATCTGATTTTCTGTTACATTTTCCAGTTTGCATATAAGCAGTCACACATCTACTTGTAAGTGAATTCCTGATCTTCTTCTTTATGCTGTGTCCCTTCAAGATGTGGGCTATCATCGTTATTGAAAACCTCCTGTAGCACTTAATGCTAAGTTATATATATATATATATATATATATATATATATAACCTCATTCTGTCAGTAATGCTTACAAGAATTACTAGCTATATATAATTTCTTTCCTCCTGATTTTTTATATAGAATATAAGGACTGAGAGTTGAAATAGATTCAAAGAAATTGTAGGTAAAAGAAAAATGTAAAATTAGATATCTAAGCATTAACTTTTCCTCTCTCCCATCAGAAATATTTAGTTTGTTAGTATAGAAAATTGAAGCATGGTGGAGTAATGGATAGCAACTCAAAATGAGTCAGATCCATTACATTCACTTACATGCTAATATCCTTGGGACAGATATGAATCCTCTTCTTCTCCCCCCACCTATGGATAAATAGCAAGGCAGACTGGGTTCTGTAACCTTGGGTGGCAATCGAGTCTAGGAGAAGGAAACTCTGAATTCAAAACTGACCTGGAGAGGGTTGGGCTTTGTCAGTCTATCTTGCCCAAGAAACACCACTTCTACTGTGGCTGCAGTACACATGGTGCACCTACGACCCTTTAAGCTATGTTCCCTTTTGTTTTTAATCATTTCACCCCAAGGTCATTATTTAATCTTATATATAATGTGTGTTTGTCTCTGTGCATAGTTATCATAAGTTTTTGAACATTGGCCTCATTCAAAAACTGTTGATCATGCCGGATTTTGCACTCTCTCCCAGAAACTGTAACTAAGGTCTGCTCAGCATAGTTACAGTTTTAAACTTTTGGCTTTGTGGGTGTTGAAGGAACACAAATGTGCCTGACCATTAGCTAGCCGCCATAGCAGTCAAGTATAAATGAGCACCTATCCATATATATATATATATATATAAAAATAAATTTCTTTTTTTATATATGGATAATATATTTTTAAATTTAACCTCAAACATGCTTTTTCAGAAGTTTATATATATAAACCATATATATATATATATATATATATATAACTTTCAACTCCCCATATCAATTCAACGTATAAAAGGGTCAAGCAGATCAGTTCCTAGGAGACTGACAACCTGACACCAGCACATATGATTTAATTATAGTGGTGAAGCTTTGTGCAGAACCATCCACACGTTTTGAAGGCCTGAATACAGAGACCTGGTGCACTACGTACCACAAGGTCACCAAACGACCCTCTGCAGGTTTTGAATTCAGAGTTGTCCTTCTCCTAGACCAGTTACCATCCAATGCTATAGAACCTAGTCTGTCCTGCTATTTACCCATAGCTGGAAGGAGAAGAAGCGGATTCACACCTTTCCCAAGGGTATTAGCACTTAAGTGAATGTAATGGATTCAACTGGAATTTGAACTTGGCTCTCCGATTCCTCAAACCAAGCCACTATCCATTACCCTACAGTGCCTCCATAAATATATATATATATATATATATATATATATATATATATATATATATATATATATATATATATATATATAAATATAATACCACCAGTCATTTGCCATTTTCAAATTAGCATACATTGATGAAAAAATGCCCCAAACTTAATAAAAGTAAAGTTATTATTAACCTTTGTAGAATGTTTAAAATTTTGGTTAAAAATCTTTTTGTGTGTGTGTGTGTCAGCATAGTGGCCAAAAATTAGTGTAGAAAATTTTAGCATTTTTTATGCCATGAAAAATACATTGTTTTGGAAATTCTTACATCAAATAATTACTTGATTTTAATGAAATTTTCAGGACTTATTCATGAATGACAGAAATTATTTAAAAAAATTTTTTTTTTTTTACAAAATCTTGGTAAAAATATATATATTTTTTTTACATCTGTTACCTCCTACTTATTTAATTTTATGAACTTTCTAGAAATTAAATTTTATATAGCTTAATGTTTATATTAGTTAAAAGCAGAATTCCTTGGAGAATTTAAATCACAAATTTTTTTTTGTAAAACAGTACCCCAAATTACCAAAAATCTGCTCTCAACTGTAAAATAAAAAATATCTTTTAAACTAAGACATTATTTAATTAGAAAACTTTTAATTACTTTTATAAATAAGATATATATTATGGATACTATTGTCTTAAGAAAAAAATTAATGAATAATGAATTTTTACATGAATTGTTTTAATTTTTTTTTAATTAGAATAATAAAAATGTAAAAACATGCTGATTTTTGTAAATACTGACACCCATACACAACATTATCAGAAAATAAGAGCGATAACTATAGTAAATTTAAAGCTAATATTTCTAAAATTCAATAAAGTATTAGATAACGGAGAATATTTTCCTAAATTTTTAAGATTACTGGGTAGTTAAAAATGATATAAAAAGGTACTCACTTTATATTCTTTAAGTACATTTTGCAAATATGTCCACTGAAGAAAAACATTAGATAAACTTACTGAATCTGTCAATCTGTCAACAACTAAAATCAACTTTCATTCCTGTTATATTTTAAAATTAAAGTAAGTAATATTTGTTTCATATCAGATTAATTAAACTTTAAATCACCTAATATTCCTCAAAGTTTCAGAAAAGTATATTTTATTTTTGAAAGATTTTTTTTTATTAAGGAGAATGACATTGTGATGAAGATGTCTAAAAATGGTACTAAAATCAGTGATTCTTAGCAATTTGAAATGAAACCCCCTTCCAGTCAATTTAAATTAGTTTTGAAATACAGTAAAAATATTGAAAATATTAAATTTAATCTAGTAACTTTAAATTAAAACTAAAATAAAATCTTCAAGAAATATTTTCATTTTTAAACATTCATTTAAAACCCTTGGTATCATGCATGTGCTGGAAAAAAATACCTATCTTTACATGTGTCTGTCTGTATACAATACTTAAGCCTCAAAACATTTAAAATTTTAATAGCATTTTAGCATTTACTTGTTTGATTTATTAAAATAGTGAGACCACCCCAGAGATGAATTTTTGCCTTTTATGAATAAAATTTAATTGAATATATATTTAACTTAAACCAACCCAACCAAGAGAAATGAACTCACAAAAACTATTGACTTATTAGATATAATAGTCTTGTGGGAAAAGAACATAAATGAATTGAAAAGAAAAGAAAAAATGCAACATAATTTTTGAATGAAAGTTACAAGGTCACGTTAAAAGTTTTTGTTTAGTGTTTTTTAGTAAGTGTAATTTTTGACTTCAGTTTATATTAATTGAAACATGACCATATAACAATAGTACATTGTTCTGTTCAAGGACTCTTATTATACATTGATCAGTATGGAAACTATTATGCATTGGTCTACATTAGTACCTATCATTGTAAGGTCACTTAGGTACTGAGAAGTACTAATGTTCGATAATCGATACTATTACATATATTTTGTGGTGATTTAATATTCTATTATAGAAGACTCAATATTTTTAATACAATTTCCTGAAGGTGCTAAGGATTCAAATATACAGCACAAATGTTATTTTATATACTTTTGGATTATTGCTTTCCAAATTGTTTTTATTACAATTCTTCTTCTTCATACCATACCCCTTCAGGACATTTGGTGATCTGCCTCTCTACAATTTGTTGTGTTTTGTAGCTCTGTAAATTTTGTCTTTTTGCTCTCTCTCTCTCTTCTAATTTCTGT